CTGTTAGGGTTGATTATTCGTCAAAAAATAGATGAAATCGAAAAATGAAATCATTTATTATTTCTATTTCTACATTTTTTTTGTCAGCTGTCACCATGAATCATCCGATATTTTTAATGATGATTAAAATCTATTCATGGACAATTGGCTCATTTTTTAGAGGGACAAATATACACAAGACATTGTCTGAGTCGAACCACGCCTCAACCTTATCCACATCATACTTTTCTGGAATGTTGAAGCTGAGGATGGTTTCGGAAAAAGCGTTTTTGTCCTTGTCATCTTCAACTTTCTTGATTCTTTTTACCGTAATGGATTTAGCTTTTACCTAAAAATTGAATATATTTTTCTTATTAATGTATTTTTCTAATCAAAAAAAGTACATACACATAAGTTACGTAGTATCATGAGATATCTGACAGGTAGAGATTTTTTTCTTGTCTATTGTTTAATCAAAATTTTTCACGAAGCAGAAAGTGAGTACAGTTAGCCGATACTTTTTCAACTTAATTTAAGCATTTAACGCAAGAAATATTGAATATTTAATCAGTTAAACAAGACAAAGACTTAAACAAAGCACTTTCATACTTACGATGGCGTTAAGTGTATCCTTAAAAAATTCTGTGATATCTATTTGTTTCAGAATGTCCTACAAATACAACTTTTTATTGAATTTTAAAGAAATGTTAATAAGAAAATATGATATATGTGTATCGTTGCTCATGGCCTTACCTTATCATTTTTGGTTTGGATGTGAGAATCTTTGGTTGGTTTAATTTCTAACTGTCTCGCCTCTTCAGACGTGTTGCTTGGGGACACAATCTGATGACCCACGGTCATACCCGTGCCATCATCACGTCTATCGGGTCGACCTATTGGTTCCGATTCCCAATCGTAATAAGGATTATAGTTTTCGGTCATTTTGATAATAATATTAGTGTAAGGTCGCTTTTTTGAATAGTAAAAAATAGAAGCTTGAATTTTGGTTAAAGTTGCTTGGTTAGAACCCTCTTGTCTTCCGGTCTCGCGGTAGAGAATATGGAATAAATTTCTTTACGTCAGTGGAGTGCCTTAACCACGCGGCAACTGATGCTTCACAGACGATATAAGTTGCGGTCATGAAAGGCTCAGTTGTAGTTAAGTCAGATATGGTCACGTGATTATTTATCATGAGTGCAACGGATACAAGATGGTGCTACTGTATATTTGATAAATTTCTATTGCTGAAAAGAAAGTTATTTTTTCGCTTCGACTAAACTGACAAAACTATTACCGAACTTTTTGCGAACACAACCCTTAGGATATTGGGAGTCCCAAAACGTCGTGGGATTTTCGCAATATAAATATATGTTTGCAATACATACAGTGTTAATGCTAAGCAGTACTAGAGGTATAGATAGTGTTTAGACGCTGTCTATTATAATAATAACAACGCACCACATACGATAAAGTAATGCATCGTTACCTACGCACATGATAGATTTGTATATTGTATATTTGTCCTCCTCAGAGCAGTAGACTCCAAGCTGTTCATATATATATATAGACTATGTAGGTAGAGTCACCACATAATTATTTATTATTATGTGGTCGTGGTGGCGCAACTGTAAAATTGCAGTTCCGTTGGTCTCCGAGGTTAAGCTGCATTTGGTACGGTTAGTACTTGGATGGGTGATCGTCTGGTCACTATTCAAGTCTCGCCCTTTCACCTGTGCACTTGATTTTCGTAGGTCGATTAACTGTTTCTGACGATTCGTCTACGTGATCGTAGGTATGACTGAGTTGGTCCAGATGTTTATGTACGTATATAAACATCTGGTCATAACTCAAATGCACCGATGGCTAATTAAGGACGTTTATCACACATAGCGTTTTTCGAAGGATCTTCCTGAAATTTTTACAGGATGCTTGTGATGATGTTAGAAAGTCAGATGTAGAATTTGAGACCATTCCACAAACACCGTTCTTAAAGTATTAAATGTTGATAATACTTAAATTTAACACGTAACCTTACGGAGAAGCCACATAAAAACGGAATTTATAAAAAAATGGTCTGAAGAATTTGTCCAATTTTTTTGCATGATACAATACTATAAAACTAATATTATACTGAATTTTCAGTGGAATCAACTATTTTTTTTTGCAAAAAAAAAAAAAAAAAAAAAAAAAAAGGTATCAGACGCCTATGTAGAGGTATACAAATGCGTGCAAAACAATTGCTAGCCCTGCCGAATGCTCGCTCCCTCTTCACCGCTCTCGAGTTTTGCTACGCTAACTGTGATAAACGTTCTTAACACTATGCTTGTGTACAAAAATGCTATGTCTGAGCCCACGGGAGATGATGAAAATAAAAAAAAAAAAAAAACTACTTATTATAAACACTGAGATTATATAAGTAAATATACCCATATGCTCTACAAATAGCTTGTAGGCCTTCGAGTGCTTGTTCAATAGTTTAATTAATATATAATCCAAATTAAAAATCAGCAGTGTAGATGTGAGTGTGTGTGCGCGTTGAGGACAGAAATGTTTCTACACTTGCCAACATCAATATTGATGATTTGTTATGGTTTAAAATGTTAATATACTGCGAGACCAAACGATTTAGTATCGAATAAAAAGTGTTATAATGAAATGCACAATATTAAATATTTAAAAGGTGTTTGATCATTTCCCTAACAAAATTAAACCAAGACCTTATTTATTTCAATTAAAGATTAAACTTCATGTTTAACTGCAAGTATTTAGAACTGAAATTTAAATTAAATTCCCAATTTTAATATTCCCAGTTTTAGAGTAAATATAAATTTAATTGTTCATTGATTGGTATTAACAATCAAATTTAATTGTTTTGTCAAACGTATCCTAACCAACGCTTTTCGTTTGTAGGATTTTGTTTACATTATTAAAATAAAAATATAATTATTCGTTTAATCGTATACTTAAATTTTAATTAAAGGAGATCATGACGCGTAAAAGAAGTTTTGGCAAAAAATAAAAAGAGTTAGAAAACGCTGAAAAAAATTACGTTTTGTTGAAAACATCACGTGAGTGCGTGAATTTTTTCAGTATGTTTTCCAGGTGTATCATCAAAAAAAAGAATTCTGAATTCCATGTTTTAACATAGGCTTTTATGGGGGCCACTTAGTAATTAACTTATGTTCAAACAAATGTTTAAATAAATCAAAAATNCATTAAAAAATACTTATACACAAAAAATCAGTAGATGTTGTATCAGTAAAAAAAGGAGGGACACGGAATATTGTCTAAAATATTGACAATCTACTTTAATTTTGGATTGTAAGTATGAGGCGTTTTAAGCGAAACGTCCCTGGCCCGCCGCGCGAGCGCTGAAAGTTACTGTTTTCAGCTCATTTTCTCGGCCTTATTCCTATTCTAAAAAAATGTTCCAAATAGCATTTTCAATGTATTTTTTAGTCAGCTCTTGGATGAATTTTTTATAAATTACATTTTACTAGGTTTTTGAAAAATGGTACAGAGTTGGGCCAAAAAAGTTTCTAACTATGGTTTAAATTTTTCATTGTAAGAGAAAAATAATGAAAATATTATAAATAATAAGTTAAAAAAATCTTATTCGAGGTGCATGATAATATTCTAATTGAAAATGTCTAATAAAAAATGATAACATTTTTTTTCGTCTGTTCTTATTCGGTTTTTGTACTAGGAAAACCACCTAAAAAATAATAACGTTCCAAAGTTAATTTTTCTCATATTTATTTTTTACCAGCACAAGATTGATCATAAGTAAATCGACAAATTCAGAACTACCATCTGAATGACAACACCAAAACAGCTGGGTTTAAGTTTTTTTCATAGAATCTTAAAAAAACTAAGAAAAAACCTTTTTATTACAACTCCACATAAAACACATGAACCCCCCTGTATTGGTGTTGCCATCCATATGGTAATAGTTAATTTGTCAATTTACTTATGTTTAATCTTGTGCTGGTAAAAAATAGATACGAGAAAAATTAACTTTGGAACGTTAATGTTTTTAAGGTGGTTTTGCAAGTGCAAAAACCGAACATGAACAGACAAAAAAAATTTTATCAGTTTTTATTAGACATTTTTAATTGGGATATTGCATTTTGAGAGAACTGACCTATATGGACCAAGAACTGAGTCCAAAGTGCGTAAAAAAAAAGAAAATATCTGCCGCAACAAGTACATGAAAAAGTTAAGAAGTTTAGTAAACCGTGAAGATTTGACATCTTAAGTATTTTCGTTATCTTTTCTCTTGATCACGGGTTATATTGTGATTGAAAAAGAACAGTTTATTCCAAACGATATTACTGTCACAACGTTGTTTATTGGATAGAAAATGAAAAGTAGTTATAGAAAAGTACTATTTGTGACAAGATAAGAACTTTTTTATTACCTAAAAATTCTCCGCCCCCCTTTTGAGGAAGTCCATTTTCAGGTAGTAGAAAAATTTTTATCTGGACAGAAATGGCACTCAATTGAAGGCATCAATTTTTTGTTTCTATCCGTTGATTTAGTATACGGCTGGTATAATATATACTATGAACCAAATCACACTTTTCATATTCCAACACTACTCGTAATAAAAAAACAAAGATTACAAAAATACTTCCGATCTCTATGAATTATTTATCAAATCTTTTAACTTTTGTAATTATTGCAGCAGTTATTTCTTTTTACATACACTTTGGGTTTAGCTCTTATAGTCCAATTTGGATGTCGGCTGCTGTCTACACGCTTCCGCGTATACTTTTACCATCGTTGGGTGCATGGCGCGGGGTCTAATCGCGTGCTTCGATATACGCAATACGGTTCGAGATTCACCGTCATACCACCAACCTTACGACGAAAACGTAACAGAAAGTTAACTTTTTGATGTTCAAAGGTAAGTATAGTATATGACAGTAAATCTCGAAAGCTAGCGTATATATTATCGAAGCACGTAATGGTGTGTTGCAGACTGCAGAGTTTTAGTGTGTTGACGCGAATTGTACATGAGTATACATTGAGTACAAGGGGTTGTTGTAGACGCAGAGTATCTACATCTACAATAAAAATACTGCTATTTTTGTAATAAAAAAATGGCAGGATCCATCGAAATCCCGCTAAGGGACACCGATGAGGTGAGCAATATTGATCGCTTTTTACCTTCGTCTCGTGCAATAACTGGTGTTGTGATTTTGTTTTGTGCTCGGACTAACCTCAAAATTAGTTGTCTGTATTTTTTTCTTTTCTTGTTTTAATGAAAGTGTACATAGTTTTTCTACCAACATGTTGCTTAGCTTTTAAAAAACTATAATACTATTTGGTGTGTTATAAATATTTTTTGAATTGTTGAGAATAAACAAGGAACTGTGGTACTTGCATGTAAGCAGCTGTGCAAACATGTATTTTAACAGCAACTGTGTGGTTTAAGTTAACGTTGCTGCTGATAATAAACACTCGATAAATTACTATTGTTCCTAACGCTTCTCAAACAAATACCCACTGTCACCTGCATTTTAAAGTATTGCCTCTATGGAGCTAAAATTTATTTTAGTTGCATGCTTGCTTTCAAGATTTTATTATAATTTCAGCATAATAGAATATTATACGATATGATTAAACATTTCATTTTGTACAGGTCATAGAATTGTGTTTAGATCAACTACCTGATGGTGACGAAGTGCTTGGTATATTACGACAAGAACATGCACAGCTCAGTATTTGGGTCAATTTGGCTGTAAGTTTTACATCATATCATTTCAAATCTAATGTAGTGACTTTCCAGATCATGTTTAACTAATTATCTAACATTGTTTCAGCTTGAGTATTACAAGCAACACAAGATCGAGGATTTCATTAAAATTCTCGAATCATCTAGAATTGATGCAAACAATGATTATCGGGATCATGAGAAAGATCAAATGCGGGCGTTGGACATGCTGGCTGCCTACTATGTTCAAGAAGCCAACCGTGAAAAGAATAAGGATAAAAAAAGAGATTTGTTTATGAAGGCAACTCTGCTGTACACAACGGCTGACAAAATCATCATGTATGATCAGGTGAGAACAACTGATTTAATTTACTTCTGTTTATTTTTACCTTGGGGTTAGATCGCTCATTGGCAATTTGTTTTCTTTAGAATCATTTGCTGGGAAGAGCCTACTTTTACTTGATCGAGGGCGATAAAATGGAACAGGCTGATATCCAGTTCAACTTTGTCTTGAATCAGTCACCAAACAATATCCCATCTCTTTTGGGAAAAGCCTGCATTGCTTTCAACAAAAAGGACTTTAGAGGCGCTTTAACATTTTATAGAAAAGCCCTACGTACCAATCCAAATTGTCCAGCCGCGGTCAGAGTCGGCATGGGCCACTGTTTTATGAAACTGAACAATCACGAGAAAGCGCGCATGGCTTACGAAAGAGCTCTGCAGCTTGACAGCCAGTCCGTTGGGGCACTGGTAGGCCTCGCCATTCTGAAGCTCAACGAACAAAACCCAGACAGCATCAGGGCTGGCGTGCAAATGTTTTCCAGAGCCTACACCATAGACTCGACCAACCCCATGGTACTGAATCACTTGGCCAATCACTTTTTCTTCAAAAAAGACTACATGAAGGTTCAGCATCTGGCTCTGCATGCCTTTCACAACACCGAGAACGAATCGATGCGTGCCGAAAGTTGTTACCAGCTCGCAAGATCATTTCACGTTCAGGTACCATTTTTTTCTTGTATCCAATTGTCCGGTACCATGGTATAATCAATCCGTATTTTTTCAGCGCGACCACAATCAAGCCTTCCAATATTACTATCAAGCGACGCAGTTTGCCTCATCTGCCTTTGTACTACCGCACTATGGTCTTGGTCAAATGTACATGTATCGCGAAGACAGCGAGAACGTAAGCTGCACTCGACTCCGAGAACCCATCACGCGCGCAATTAACACTTGATTCGTTATCAGGCAGCTCAGTGCTTCGAGAAGGTCCTCAAAGCCCAGCCGGACAATTACGAGACGATGAAGATTCTGGGCTCGCTGTACGCCAACTCGAGTTCCCAGTCTAAGCGAGACATAGCCAAGAATCACTTGCGCAAAGTGACCGAGCACTATCCGGAGGACGTCGAGGCTTGGATCGAACTCGCCCAGATCCTCGAGCAGAGCGACTTGCAGGCCTCGCTCAACGCTTACGGCACGGCGACTCGCATCCTCAGCGAGAAGGTCCAAGCAGAAATACCACCGGAAATCCTCAACAACGTGGGCGCTCTGCACTACAGGTAAGTGTTCACCTGCTGGAAGAAAAACGTTCCTCCGATAAAAGCGTGCATGAATTTTCAGACTCGGCAATCTCGAGGAGTCGCGCGCCAAGTTGATGGAGTCGCTGGCGCGCTCGAAGGCCGACGCGGAGCACGACGCCAACTACTACAACTCCATCGCCGTGTCGACAACGTACAATCTGGCGCGCGTCTTCGAAGCCCACTGCATGTTCGACAAAGCCGAGAAGCTGTACAAGGACGTCCTGAAGGAGCACCCGAACTACATAGATTGTTACCTGCGGCTCGGGTGCATGGCGCGCGACAAGGGCCAGATCTACGAAGCGTCCGATTGGTTCAAAGACGCGCTTAGGATCGACAACGAGCACCCGGACGCCTGGTCGCTGCTCGGCAATCTCCACTTGGCCAAGCAGGAGTGGGGCCCAGGGCAGAAAAAGTTCGAGAGGATCCTCAAAAACCCCAGCACCAACAACGACGCGTACTCGCTCATCGCACTCGGCAACATTTGGCTGCAGACTCTGCACCAAAGCGGCAAGGAGAAGGAGCGCGAGAAACGCCACCAGGAACGAGCTCTGGCCATGTACAAGCAGGTAAGCACCATTTGGCTGGTTGAACGACGAGGTGGAGATTAATGATTTTCGTTGGTGGAAACAGGTTTTGCGTACGGACCCCAAGAACATCTGGGCGACCAATGGAATCGGCTGCGTGCTCGCTCACAAGGGCTACACGAACGAGGCTCGCGACATCTTTGCTCAAGTCAGAGAGGCGACCGCCGAATTTCCCGACGTCTGGCTGAACATTGCGCACATCTACGTCGAACAGAAGCAATTCGTCAGCGCCATTCAAATGGTCGGTTCGATTTATTTTCTCTCTCAACATTTTCATCAACAGCTGTCTTGACGCTTTTTTCCCCCGTTTGTAGTACGAAAATTGTCTCCGCAAGTTCTACAGTTTCCATCACGTTGAAATCCTGGGCTATCTGGCCCGCGCGTACCTGAAAGCGGGCAAACTAAAGGAAGCCAAATTCACGCTGCTCAAGGTATTTGTTATCATGTCATAGATGAGTAATTTTAAGGGAAATGGTCTGAAACATTGTCGTTCGCAGGCGCGTCGAGTAGCACCCCAGGATCCAGTGTTGCTGTACAACGTGGCGTACGTGCTCCAGCGACTCGCCACAATGATACTGAAGGACGAGAAGTCGACCCTGACGACGGTGCTGCAGGCGGTGCACGAGCTCGGCTTGTCGCACAAGTACTTCCAGTACCTGGCCAGCCACGGTGACCGCATGGAGCAGGCGGCCGAGTCCGAGTCCCGGCGCTGCCAGGATCTCATGTCCCAGGCGCAGTACCACGTGGCGCGGGCTCGTAGGCTCGACGAGGAGGAGCGCATGCTGCGGAAAAAACAGGAGGAGGAGCGCATGGCGTTCAAGATGCGCCAGACGGAGGAGCAGCGCAAGCAGGAGGAGATACGCCGTCAGCGCGAGGAGGAGATGCTACAGAAGCGACAGGAGTACGTGGAAAAAACGAAGAACGCGTTGGTGTTCAACGAGGTGCCGAGCGAGAAGCCGAAGAAGGGGGGCAAGAAGGGCCGGAACGACGAGATCATCAGCGGGGAGAGCGATGGCTCGGCTGACGATGAAGGCAGGGCAGGGGGCAGTGACGAGGCGCCTCGGGAGAAAAAACAGCGCAAGAAAAAGGGCGAGCCCAGGGATAAGTCGAGCAAGGGCAGGCGGAAGAGGGACGCCGAGGACAGCGGTGATTACTTTGCTGAGTTTTTTTTTTTGCGAGAGAAACGAATTTTTACTGATCATGTGTTTTTTTTCAGCAGGTTCGGGTGGCGATAAGCCGAGCAAGAAACGCGGAAAGAAGGGACCAGCTCCCAAGAAGGAGAAGTTTGCCAAAAAGGACCTCGTGGTGGCAAAGTCGCGCATCAGGTCGAAGGAAACGATATCGACGAGCGAGTCGGAAAGCGACAACGAGCGCTCGAAACTCAGAAGCGGGTAAGAAGCGGCAATGTGCTCAAGTTGTTCACCCCCTCCCCCCAACATATAATCAATAAATTATCTTTGGGTACGTTGACAGGGACGAGAGCGACGTTGGCGGACCACGACGCATCGCCTCGGATACAGAAAGTTCGAGGGCCTCGCGTTCGCGTTCACGCTCGAGATCGGCTTCTGGTTCTCGCGGTTCTCGTTCAGGCTCCGGTTCCCGGTCAAGATCAAGGTCGAGGTCAAGGTCGAGGTCGAGGTCTGGGTAAGAAATTAAATCTAAATACGCAGGTCCATCAGCTTGTGAAGCTTTTTGTACATGGACCACTGATTGGCCTTTTTCCAGATCTCGTTCTCGGTCGGGATCGAAATCCCACTCATCGCGCTCAAGGCGCTCTTCAAGCTCGGATCGCTCGGTACGCTCCAAAAAATCCGTCTCGCCCAGCTCAGCGAGATCGAACAGCGGCTCGCGACGCAGTGGGTCACGACAGAGCGGCTCCAAGTCCCGCTCCCGCAGCCCCGCCGGGTCGCACAAGAGTGGCAGGAGTTCATCCAGGTCCCGCTCCCGCAGCCCCGCTGGATCGCAAAAGAGTGGCTCCAGGTCCCGCTCCCACAGTCCCGTTGGCTCACACAAGAGTGGCAAGAGCGGTTCGCGCTCCAACAGCCCCGCTGGCTCGCACAAGAGTGGCTCCAGGTCCCGCTCCCACAGCCCCGCTGGCTCGCACAAGAGTGGCTCCAGGTCCCGCTCCAACAGCCCCGCTGGCTCACACAAGAGTGGCAAGAGCGGTTCGCGCTCCACATCGAAGTCAAGGTCGAGGTCTAGGAGTGCTTCGCACTCGGATAATTGAGATGGAGAGCGCTGATGGAAGATGTTGGTTGAGTTGGTGCTCGGCCGTATTAGCGGTGGGCCGGGCGAGTGTTGTGATTTGGACGACGAGGTTCTTTCAGCGAGGACTTGAGTTTTTGGACATTTGTGTTGTACAAACATGTAAATCGAGGATTTGGGTTGGCTTTGGTATCAATTAATTTTCATTTAGGTATAGAAAACGATATGTCGATGGTTTGCAAGACTCAATGACGCCTCGTGCAGAGAAATTTTGAGTTGCTATATTTGTATGACATGATGTGTTGTTGAATGCATATATTTTTTTTTTATTATCTGGGTTAGTTGAACGTTTGACTTTTTGCCGTGTGTGTACGTGCAAACGCGATGTTTCTTGTATTTGTAAAAATTAGGCAGTTCATAATTATTTTGCAATTAAGATTATAAAACACATTGTGTATCAATTATTTTACTGTAATGATCAAAGTGTAGAATAAAATTTTGAAACAAAATGCACACCCCTGTTTATTCGTTTACCCTGGAAAACTATCCCTAAACGACACATTCGAGATATTATGGATTAAAAAAAACACAAGTACTCATGCACACACACCAATTTGGTGAGTGTATCTTGAGTCTTGAGATGATTTTCAAGATATTTTTGTAGATGATAACATCGCGCCAGGTTAGGTTGGGTCCAATGATGTGACAGGTTTGTTGTGTTTACATTACCATACAGGTGTTTGACAATTTACGGACACACATTTATTTGTTTCTATTGTTTTAAAGCGAGTATTTTGTTACATCCAGTACATTCAACGAATATCATATCCATCTGACCAAAATCTCTGACTTTGATGTTAATATAGTTTCATTGCCAGTAAATTAAGAGTACACAATAGATAGTTGTGCAAAAAAACTGTTAATAATTCATCATGATTATTTTGCAGGTTTCAAACATGGCCGGTTACTTTGAAGAAATGGGATGGACCCCACTGGGTAACGCAGAAGCACCAAACCATCTCATACAGATGGCCCGTTTCTTGAGAGATTCCGGCATGTGGGACTTGTTGGGCGAACAAGAAAGATTGCCACCTCCAGCCTCCAAGGAGGCCGTCCAGAGTTTGGAGGAAGTCGAATTCAAGGGCGACAATGGTGTGAGATTTCGCGAACCTGTTGGAGTGGTGTCATTGTTCTAAACGTCACGTATTTGTTTAATCATTGCAGAAAAGAAGGGCCAGTGTCCTGTTTGTCTGAAGGAGTTCGAAAAAGGAATAACTGCCAAATTGATGCCTTGTAAGCACACTTTCCACAAAGAGTGCATCGAGCCTTGGTTGGAAAAGGTATGGCCACTCGTAGCAGCAATGAGCCATGGATAGTTTAAAAAACTTCAAACGTGTTTCAGACGAATTCCTGTCCGTTGTGCAGGCACGAATTGCCCACAGACGACGAGGACTACGAGGATTTTAAGAAAGAAAAAAAACGCAGGGTGGAGAGGAAAAAGGATCTAGAAGTGCTGCACGACTCCATGTTTACCTAGTAAACGTCCAATGCTGGAACGATTAAATTAGCATTCCTGTGTGTGTTGACTAATGTTGATTCGTGCTTAACTTTGAATATACACATGTGTAGTGGGTTTTCAATCCCACTACAACAATACAACTGTAGAAGATTTTATTTGTATGAAAATTTGAGCTTACGATGTTAGTTTATTATGTCACAAGTTTTTATCATTAGAGTACAACGAGTATGTTAAACATAGCACACGTGCACATAGTCACATCGACAGCAAATATAATGTAAATTTTAAAAAACAAAACTAATCCAAGCTTCAACTTATTGGGTAACAATCTCCACATTTTTGATATCGGAATATAATTATTATACACTTGGGAAACGTATATGTGAAATATTCTAATCTCGAAAAAACTAGAGATAGCTTAGAAGTTAATGTATGTCGGTTGATTGTACCAACTCATGGAAATCGTTCGAAATTAACGTTTAATCATCCAGAATAATATATTGTCAATATTCACTGTAACGTAATTTTTCAAAGTAGTAAAATAATGATAAAGATACCTATTAAAATCTAAATACATCACAAAAGACTCCAAATAATAATTTCAAGCTCATTTCCACGACGAAACGTTCAAAATTGTAAATGTCAAACTCCTCAAGTATGCAAAATCACTTGTGGGATAACAGACATACATTCTCTATTCCACTTTATTATAAAAATAACGTATGTTTCTCCAAGTAACAGAGTACTGTATGAATTCCTCAGTTGAGATAAATATACCCTTGACGAAGTTAATTAACATTTTTGAAACGTGCCTTTTAGCTCTCGTTGTACATTCTTGTGTGCACTTTGGCATTGTTCCCGAGAGACGATGCCTACATGCATCTTGACACGAGGGACAAGTCGTTGGACGGTCTCTAAAATATATTCAGGGTCGGTGTCGGCGATCAAGGCTCGTCCCTCCCGATTTCATCGAAAACGCGAAATTAGCCGAACCACAACTGTATACCGGAGCAGGGGGTAAGAGAGACCATCGAGTTGGATTGTGTTGGGCGAAATCTCGCGAGTACAATGTTGGATCGATGCGGTGATTTTTCATCCGCGGGGATGCTGGTGATGGGTGTGGTGCTTATAGTTTTCGCTGTTGGTTCAGCGACCGGTCAGCAACAGAGCAACAATCGTCTGCCTCACGTTTTTGGGGACAGTGAGTTTTTTTTACGAATCATCATGTTTTATTTCTTTGTTCTCTGTTTATTAACTATTACGAAATGCCAGTGTTGGTGGGATGGTGTATGCTTAATTTGTGTTTTTTTTTTTTTTTTTTTTTTTTTTTTTTTTTTTTTTTTTTTTTTTAAGTTTTT